CGGGTCCTCTTTCAAAACACCCAAAAATCATAAAAACACAGGCGTAGTCGCAGACTGCAATTGATATATTTTATTTTTAGCCGGCCTCCCAAGGTGCAGTGACAGTTATTTACAAAAAAAAATGCAAAAACAGGAAGAAATTGTATTTAAATTATTTACAAAACAAAAAGCTTCCAAAAACAAAATTCCACATGAATGAGCAAACAAAACACGAGCACTTCAAAAAGAAAGTCTCCAACATGTTACCTCCTCTGTAACCAGGACTAGAGTAGCACTGAAAATAGCAAGCAGCCATCTTTTAAAATCAGAAGCCCCTCCCACTGGGCGTTATGAATGACATAACATTTTAAACAAAACACACTTTCTCATGAATGAACAGTTTTTAACCTTTTACATTGATATAACCTACTCATCACTAAATTAAACATTTTAACCCATATTTAATTAACACCACAGCAAAGTATCTGTGACGAAACATTGTAAACAAACATTTAATTAAACAATCAAATTACATGACTACTATTGCACACCGCATCCGCCTTAGAATGCGGAAATGTGCCGCCTCTGTTTGGCACCCGACCAGCGGAGCGCATATGAAACGTACATATATATATATATATACAGTATATGTATATATGTATGTATGGAAGACAAAAATAGGGCTCTGAAGTGTGCACCCTTGGTTGCGCTATGAAACGGAGAGGGAAAGGAGGATGATGGTGTGATTTACTGAGTGATTATAGGCACAAAGGCAGAGGGAAAAGTTTGGCGGATGTGTGTGTGTCAGCGTGTGTGTTGGTGTGTGTGCTGACTGCAGTCAATGACGGAGCCGCTCCGTCACAGAAGGTCAATGAAGCTCTCAGGGAATCTGGAAAGTAGGATCAGATCACAAGTGGTCATGGGAGATGCATGTTGAAGTACTTATGACTCTCAGCTTGTGATCCAATCACTCAGGATTCATGTTAATACCAGGTGTACGTGCTCTCTGTGGAATATGTTTTACTAAACATGTGTGTTGAAAAGACAATTTAAGCATCTTCCTTTTCAGCAAATACAAAAACACCTGTAGAGCAAAACTGACAAATTCTCATAGTTACTGTGTTCAGTGGGTGTAATATATAGACATGTTTATGTTATCAAATTGAAGCTCTAAATTGTCTCCAGAATGGTATGATTAATTAAAAGAGTTCATTCTCTTTTTCTTAGCGGGTAGAAAATGGAGATATGAACTGGATTATCCCAGGGAAAGTGTTGGCGTTCAGCAGCCCTCACCACCGCAGTAAGGTTGAGAACGGTAAGTGACATTTCATCTGAACTTTCCTTCTCGACTTGCCCTCCCCTAGCTTTAAAACTCCCCTGAAGAATACTCAATCTATCGAATCATTTGAAGTCAGCAGAATGTTACATCTGGTTATTATCATTGTAGCCTCTTGGTGTCAACCTCATATTTTGTGAGACTTGTGTTCCCTCTGGGCGAGGCAGGTGGTCTAAAAGGTTAAAGGACTCATCTCCCAGCGTGACCACTTCCTGTCCTCTTGAGTTCACGGTAACGCCTTCAGGCCGCTGCTTTAAAGGCTTTATATGTGATTTTTTGATCCAGCAGATGTCGCCCTTGAGCACCAGCATGATACCAAATCAACTCGCGCTGCATTGTTGTGTTAGCATGCTAATGCTAGTGATCTTTATTATGCTCGTATCTTCACACTGCATGTCAATTTACCTGAAATGAGCGTGATCTAGAAACACAGTTAAGCAGTGAGTACAGTATGTTATTCTTCTTTTCTCTAGTCCCTCAATTAAACAACTTTTATACACGAGGGGAGGAGTCAGCCGGCCGTCCTGGCGATGTAAACAAAGTGAAGATAGGACTCTGAAAACTCTGAAAACATCACAGACAGTGGGATTCGGGTGTTACACCCATTGTAGACAGTCATGTTATTTTCAGAGGATATACTTGATTTCTATTATATTTAAGTGTGTCAAATCACATAGAAAGCCTTTAACATTTATACAAGCAGTGCAGGTTGTCACGCTGAAGAGAAATGTGTGAGCATTACTGATAATGTTTATCCCAGGTGGGTCTGTTGCTCAGCTCAGCCAGTAAACAGAAGGCTCTTTGAGCAGGAATGTCCACCTCTGATTCCACCCTGATACTCAACGTGGACTTCTGCTCCAGGGTGTACAGACGAACCTGGGGGGCACAGAGCAGAATTCAGGTCCTCGGGGGGGGCAGGGGGAGCAGGTTGAACCACTCGTATACATAAAACAAAGATTCTCCCTTCTCCTGAGGGAACAGTACTTACTTTGTCTTTCTCAGAGCTGACGCGCCAGTTTTTTTTGGCAGCCAACATCTTCAGAGCTGAAACATTGTTATAGCTCAGATACACCTGGTGTAAAAAGTGTGAAAAATCACATATTAACCCTTTAAAGCGCCCCTGATGGAACACAAACCGTTATTCTTCATCTTTCATTTCGTCTGCCATCAGGCGGTTAAACCTTGATAGTAGTCACTTGGAATGAAAACTTGTATTATTTGATTGTATTCCTTGTTTTTGTGTTTGAAGAACTCCGTGTTGGCTTCACTTCTGTCAGTGTCATCATCTCACACAGTGTACAGGATGCTCGCTTTGAGCTGCAATTATTCCCTTTTTTTTACTGTCATTTATCTGATTTATATTTTCAGGTTGTTGAATGTTCCTTTTTGAAAGTTGTATAACTCTAAAATAAATCCACTGTTTCCAGGTTATCCTCTCCACGCACCAGAGGCCTACTTTTCCTACTTTCTTCAGAATAACGTCACAGCCGTGGTCCGCTTGAACAGGAAGATGTACGAAGGCAAACGGTTTGAAGATGCAGGTTTTGAGCACCATGACCTCTTCTTCCTGGACGGGACCACACCATCTGACATCATCGTTAGGCGCTTCCTGCATGTGTGTGAGAGCACAGAAGGAGCTGTGGCTGTGCACTGTAAAGGTTCGAGCGACTTATGTGTGCATTCATTTTTTAATTAAAAGTTACTGCGCCGACAGACAGCAAATAAAACAGTGAAGAGACATTCTGCTGTTCCTCCTCTTCTTAACAACGTTTCCCTTCTACACATTCTTTGTAAAAAATGTTACCCAACCACAGCAGGCCTGGGCCGTACTGGCACTCTGATTGGCTGCTACATGATGAAGCACTACCGGTTCACTGCAGCCGAGGCCATCGCTTGGATCAGAATTTGCCGGCCTGGATCCATCATTGGTCCCCAGCAGAACTTCTTAGAGGAGTGAGATTTTGTCTTATTGTTGTTTCCTTTCAGTGACAGCTTTGACAATAACTTGAGAGGATTCAGGACTAGATACTTTGTCAAATCCAGCTTAGTGGGTAGAATGCATTCACAGAATTAAATTGGATTGACATGAAATTTCAAATGTGTGTTTGTCCTGATCATTTTTTATCTTCGTCTTAGTTTGTAATGAAAAGTTAAGGCTGGAGGATGTGTTGAACATTGTGAAGAGATTCTCTGATGCTCATGTGGACACAGCAAGGCTTCAATCTCTGATTTCTTCTCTTGCTGTTACTTTAATGTTGTACTAATCAGATCTGTAATTCATGTGTTTTTATCAATTGTTTTGCACAAAAAGTTGTGATCATCATGCATAATTGTGGAAGTTCAATATTGTCTATTTTTCTATGTGTAGAAAACAACATAGTTTGTGGATCCAAGGTGATGTCCATCGCTCCAAACAGAAACTGGTGCAACAGAGACTGAGTCGGCAACAGCAGCTCAAACAGCAGCGTGTGCAGCTGCAAAGTCCTGGTTCTGAGGGGGTCAGACAGGAAGCCATGTCCCGCCTTCTCTCAAGCATCGAGGACCTGTCAATCAACACTTCCCTTTCCAAAACATACAGCCTGGATGAAGTGAGTGGTGGGACTTTCTCTGAGTTCAAGTTTTATTTGATTTCCATACCTATAACTCTGTCTGCCTGTCTGTGTGTGTGTGTGTGTGTGTGTGTGTGTGTGTGTGTGTGTGTGTGTGTCTGTGTGTGTGCGTGCGTGCGTGCGTGCGTGCATGCGTGCGTGCGTGCGTGTCTGTGTGTGTGTGTGTGTGTGTGTGTGTGTCTGTGTGTGTGTGTCTGTGTGTGTCTGTGTGTGTGTGTGTGTGTGTGTGTGTGTGTGTGTGTGTGTGTGTGTGTGTGTGTGTGTGTGTGTGTGTGTGAAGATTCATTTGAAGGACAGCAGTCTTACTCAAGGAGACAAACTGAGAACACTGAAGTCCAAACGCCCGCCTCGATCAGCCTCCTCCTCCTCAAGGTACAACTCGGCCTTACACTCTGTTTAGTTTAGCGCTGTGGGCGTGGTCATGAGGGAAGCGTTTAGCACTCCCATCCTCCTTGCTAAACTTAGAACAAAGTAGAGAGCACCTGTGTCTAATCCCATGCTCTTAGCTCACAGTTATTCCTGATACAACTAAAAATAGAATAAAAATTGTACTGATGTTAATCCTGACACATTCTGATCCCTCCAAAAGAAACCAGAGTTCAACATGTTCAAAAACTGTTGTTAGAAATGTGCCAAACCTGCATAAAACACAGGTTTCTTCTTATCTGAATGAATATAGCAGGATGTAGTCTCAGAGACATACCCTGTTGGTTTCTGAAGCTCAATGATGGCGGTCACCATATTGTAAATGCCGACTCAACCTGACCTAAGACAAGGAGGCGGGCTCAGAACAGTCAAACTCCCACCAGAGGTTGCTGCTTGTCTATCCCTCACAGAGACTTCCTAAGAAGCATCCTGACTGGCTGAGCAGATTTTACAGAACTGATCACCTGAGCTGATTTCAGAAACCCAGAAAACCTTTGAAGGAAAATTAGCATTTGTCCAGAGCGTCCTTTTTCTTTTTATGTTAATGGACACATGCTCTGCAGATTTAAAGTTATTGTTTGTAAATACACAGAAATGTTACTTAAAGAATAATAGTATCAAATATGATGTTTATTGGGTTAGGGTTAGGGTATGAATTCCTGTATCAAAATCCCATGTAACTTAAGGTTTAGTCCCTGTAAAACATCTGCATATTGAGTGTTATTCCAACACTGAACACTAGGCGGTGTCTTCATTGATGCTGTGCATAAAGACGAGGCTCCAGGTGATTGGATTTAGTTGTGTATTTGGAAGCATATCAAATGACTGATTTTCCGTGTATGTTTTCTACATGAGAAAAAACATAATTTCACATAGACGTTTTCGTTGGCTTTATTGGAAGATGTGTTCAGTTGTTTTTTTTTTCCTGATTAGAGCAAATCTGAATGTGTACTACTAGATTCACATCTGTCTAACTGTCAAGTAGTTTTACAATAAACCATATTGTTCTCCTTGATGACCTCACTCAAAACAACATGTAGTTTAGGCTAACTTAAACTTTAAAGGTAGAGCATTATCTGTTACAGCATGTAAACATCCTCCTGGGCTCATCGCCACTAGAAGCTCACACTCACTGCAGGATGTATTTACAACTTGTACCTACACTGCAGGCTATCGCACGCTAGCACAAGCTAACTGTTTGCTAACCTGCCTGTCCCAACAGGAAGCAGACCAACTCCACGTCTTTGGGTAAAAGCCAAAACAGGTATCACCCTGGTTTGAGAGGGTTAGATGAAAGCTTTAGTTCATGTGTGAGAGTATATATTACAACATTTACTCATTCTGCAAACATCCTGTCACGTCTGTTTAGTTCAGTCAAAATGTTTCATTGAAGCTGCTTCACATTAAAACGGTTTGTAGATTACAAATAAAACAAGCAGTTGATTTGTGTTCACATTCAGGTTGAACCTGTCCATGGCGTCTCACTCCTCCATTCTGCCACCTCCAAAGTCCCCTAAAATGCCCCTCCCCTTCACCTTATCGCCCTCCTCCTCCAAGAAGCTGGTACGAAGCTCCTCCTCGTCCGCCACACAGGTCAAGAGGTGAGTGTCCATGCTTTTGTTTCTTTTCAAATGTTGTCTGTTAGATCAGCTGAACCAGGAAACTGATATCCTAACTGTGTGACACCTTAATGCAGACGTCAGGATTACCTCTTACAACACATTGCTGTGGTGAATATTTCAGCATTATATGGAAATCATCAAATTGATTTCTTTCTTTTTATATTCATTCTTTGATGTGGACCTGGAGCTACAGATTGAGTCCTCCTCATTATCTTATGAGAAAAGCTTCCCTCACTGTCCCACTCTCCTCTGTCTCTGAGCAGGACCAGGAAATAAAAGGGAAGCTAGAAGTCCTCAGAGGGAGGGGAGTCAGGGCAGAAAGGTGCTAAGATCCAATTTTCTGCTAGTAAATGAAAACAGTGTGCTCTGTATATGTTCTGTCTGAAGTTAGTTAGGGTGTAAACTCTTTTTAGTTCTGTGCCACGGCCTCTGAATTCACCTCACAGACACTCTCTTTGTTTCTCTCTCCAGTCCCTTCAGCCTCAGTCTGTTCAGTGCCAGGCCCGCCATCATTCCCTGACCTCTTCTCTTCACAAGTTCAGTCGACGGAGTCTAAAGCAGGACTGCTAACAAGTACATGTTGTCTTGGCCTTACACTTTAATCAGTGTTATGGATAGATACCCAAGGAACTAGGTCACAGGTTTCCTTGCTCGTCAGAAGCTGCACCTTAGATGCTCTGCTCACCTGATGGCTGATGACAGTCAGCTGGGTTTGGAGGCTACAGGCAGGTGGACTGCTTCTTTGTGTATCCACAGAGTTAACACCATCAGTTGGCTGTCTGTGATTTTGTTTGTGAAAGAAGCTCTCATTTAAGTATGTGTTTTGAAAACACCTTTTTTCTTTCGGCCATTTTGGGTCTCCCTCTGTTCGTTGACTCAGTGGTTTGAACTTCAAAGTTATGTTTGTCCTTCATTTTGATAGAATAAGTGGTTAGTGGCTCTTCTTCCACCTTAAAGAAAACCAAGGCCCACTTATGTGGTACCTTGAAAAATATTATGATGACTTATTGTCAAAAGTGTTTGCACTTTTAATTTAAAGAGGTTCAACGACTCAATAAGTTTTCATGGTCAACTTTATGGAGTAAAGGAACTTTTAACATCTGAACTTCACATGAACATGAAGAGCTAAGCAGGGCTTATTGGTCAGCTCTGGTAGAAAACATACATATGGTAGTGGACGTATAGGTCATTAACCATGAAGGTAAACAACTGTGGCAAGAGCTGTAATAATGGGTGAGTTAACAAAAACAACAACAACAACTCTGATCCTTTCTTTCATAATATTACGGTCTTTCAGGAAGAGTACAGAAGTACTATCAGCAAAATAAAGTAACCAAAGCAAAGATCCTCATTATGAGAAATAAATAACACTTTCCTTTTTCACAGCGAGGTGGATAGACTCAACACTCAGGAGTGAAATCACCGGAGAAGATGAAGAATCGTTTGTCTCTTTAATGTATTTTGTTTAGAAGCTGACACGTCTTTTGGTGAAACAGAATCTGCAATCGGGAAACAAAAGTGTCATAGAAGAAGCAGAAAGTGTTTTTATCGTCTTTTCCTGAAGGCTTGAGAGGTTTAAAGAACTCAAAGTGAAGTTATAACATCTCTCAGAGTTTACACAGCGACTTCTTAAAAAGTCACTTTCACCAGCATTGCAGTGATCGGCTGCTGTTATGTACAAATGTGCAGTTTTTATTTTTAACTTTTTCACAGAAAACTTTGATCAACTTAATGCCAATCATAAATGAATTATAATTATTAAACATAGTCTGTGTTCAACTGGAGTTATCTTTGAACACCCACAAACTATCACAGCCACCTGTAGGTCCTTTCACCTCCTGCCTGAATAATGCTTTGATGTTAGATCACATCAGTACGGTGGCCCTGAAGGTCAACTTCAAAAAAAGTCAAAAACAGTTCAGTAAACACAAAAATATTTAATGAATTGCAATAGTTTTTATATTACATTAAATGTTTTCTTGCATGTCATTACATATTTTTGCAGTTGACCTTTAGGCCACCGTACAGGCCTGTAGCCTTTTTCTTGGTCTGTTTTTTCTCTAACTTGTAAAAACTTTGAATAACTATTAATCATTTAATTAAATGAGGCGACGCCTGTGAGCTGGTTCAGTCAGTCAACCCTGCACTGTTTTCACTCTTGATTCGTGTCATTATTCAGCATCACCTGACAACACCTCCTTCCTATTGGCCGTCTCTATAAACTGCTCAATCTCTGCTCTCTGGTCCACTCCTTCATCAGCAGCTCTGACCTGCACCAGTACTGCACTCTCACTTCGCATTTTCTTTTCTTTTACATTGAAAAAATTATAACATTAAAAGCAATGTATTTTAAGCAAGATTAGAAACAATGCATCAAATAAAAGGCATCAAATAAAAAAATAAAATACATTTAAAAAAGTGTCCTGCCTATGACCCAAAAATATCCCTTTGTCTGTTTTCTGGGCTGTAATCCATCATTCCCTTTAATACAGAATGTGCAAGTTACCACTTTATCTAAAGAAGGGTGTCTACTAAAGGATGTTTAAACACGACACCAGATGTCACTGTTTCCTGAATTTGAAGCCCTGAAGCTTCAGTTAATTTCCTGCACCAAGAAAACCTTCCAAGGACTTGATCAGCAGTACGTAAACAGTGATGTCACAGTTTACGTACAACCAAGTTCAAAAGATTTCAAAAAGAAAAATGAGACAAAAATTGTTAATAATAAAACTTTTTCTGATTGTTTTTTTTTTTTTTGTTGTTGCAGCATCATTGCTCATCCTGTAAAGCAAACATTGTTTCTTTTTGAGCAGTTGTTGTTAAAATTCAGAAATATAATCATTGCTTTTGGAGGGTTCGGTCTCATAGCTCAGAATCTGGTCGTTACGGCTGATGCAAAGCTTGAAGATAAGTCCATTGTTTTTTTCTGATGTTGAAAAATGATTCAAGTCACTTATTGATCATGAATGCATTTTATATAAACAGTATATATTTATTAGATTCTTTAACTCAGGGTATTTTATACCTAATAGTTTTCATTACAAATCAAATGTGTTCTTATGTTGAATTCATTAAATCTGAATGTTTCCATGAGCTCGTGTTCTCTCTCTCTTTGACAAAACATTTATTACACCATCTGAAAGAAATGTTACACATGGAAATAGTAAAAATCTTACATAACCTTAATCTGAGTAAGTCTTTACCTGCTTTATGTCTTGAGATTACATTTGTTATAAATTAGCGTTATACAAATAAAGACTGATTGAGAATCTGATTTAGATATATTTATCTCCACGACTCACACACAAGTTTATATCCCTCTGGACCTTTATTTTAAACTGAATTTGTGCTAAAAAAAAATGTTGTATTATTTTATTAACATAATGTAAGAATGATGCAGATGTTTATCAGGATAGTGGGCACCTGCTGACGACAAACAGAAAGACGTGGTGGAACCAGTTCTGACCCAGTCCTCAACCAGCAGAGACTCTGATATTAATGTAGATAGAATGGAAAATTACAAATTCTGGGATATGACCTGATATTTGAAAAACAAAACAGACAAATCTTTCAGTAAATCAAGTGGTCTCAAATTGATATTCACCTTGAATCCCCTCGTGAACCCACAAAGAAACTCAACGATAGAAAATGGCACAAAAAATCAGCAAAAAGAGGAAAATATGTCAAACTTGTTTTTTTGTTGGCATGTATCCCATTTATGAAGAGAAATGAAGATATAATATTCCTAATCTAATCAATCAGAGGTTATGCTGTAAAAAAAAAAGTCAAACCCAGCCACCCCTCGGGACCAATGAGACAGGAATCAGAGAGAGAGTGGAGAATGACATGCAGGAAAGGAGCCACAGGACTACAGCTTCCATACATGGGCGCCACCAGCGCCCAGATGACTAGAAAGTGGTTTAAGATAAACACCCTCATACTTTGACCGATTTGAAAGATTTCAACGGAAATCAATCAAGACTCCACTGTGGGCATTAATGGGTTAAAAGTTAATGTTAGATCACAGAGCTGCCGTCAGAGTCGTCTGTGTTTCATAGTGTACCAGCTCTCACCTGGTCTGTCAGGGCGGAGACACTGTAGAGAGAGTGTGTGTGTGTGTGTGTGTGTGTGTGTGTGTGTGTGTGTATGTGTGTATGTGTGTCTTATCGAGATTGATAAAGCTCATATGACCAGAAGGTTCAGTCTGCTCTGCGGCTCCTAGTAAAAGAAGAATCTCTAAATTATAGAAGCTTAAGTCCATTTACCATTTAAATCCTGAGCGCACTAAAGAGCAGCCAGAAGAGGATGGCTGGAAGAGAGGACAACCAAAGACACGAAGAGACAGGCGCACAAGAAAAGCCAAACAGGTCAGTTAGAGATCAATCAGCAAACCTAGTTAAGATCATCCTGACAGGTCAAAGCAACATGCAATATGAATATTTATCATACTTAAGAACAGAATATGGAAATTCTAAATGTTCATGTTGTTGTGTTCTTTCAGTTCAGGGCTTCAATCTAGCAGCCAACGTAATGGCGTAAGACAAAAATCACAGCAAGACCTTTATCTTGGATGTCTAACAAAGCAACAGCTGATAATGATATCTGTGGCTGTTGGACTTGTCGTCCTGCTGGTTATTGGTTCTGTCACGGCTGTGGTTTTGATCAGGAAGTCAGGTACGTATTAGCCAGATATTTTATGATACACTATATTTAGCCCTCTTGTTGAATTAAATATCACTAGGTAGTTTTAAGCAGATGTTGACAGTGGGTCAGTGTAGAATCGTATATGCCATTCCGAAGGTTTACATGTCAAAGTATTCTATACATTAAACCTCCAATTGTTCTCGATGGCCTAACCATCAGTGTGTGAATGTGTATGAATGGATGAGTTAATACTGATGGACTCTTTACTCAGCAGCCTCTACCATCAGTGTGTGAATGTGTATGAATGGATGAGTTAATACTGATGGACTCTTTACTCAGCAGCCTCTACCATCAGTGTGTGAATGTGTATGAATGGATGAGTTAATACTGATGGACTCTTTACTCAGCAGCCTCTACCATCAGTGTGTGAATGTGTATGAATGGATGAGTTAATACTGATGGACTCTTAACTCAGCGGCCTCTACCATCAGTGTATGAATGTGGATGTGTGACCTGATGTGTAAAAACGCTTTGAGTAGTCAGAAGACTAGAACAGCGCTATATAAGCTTAAGTCCATTTAACATTTACACAGGATCAAACACTTATCATACTCCACTTGATTAGTCATATTGTAATAACTGTAACATTGATATTTTAATGATATGAATTCCATTGTTCAAAGTTGTGTTTGATCAGGGCTTTTACGGTTCTTGTGATTACATGCACGGTTAATTTTAATGACATAATGCACCACATGTCCATCACAAGGCAACAGCTGTTGTAGATTTTCATGATAGAGAGAACTCAGAGTTAAGTGATCTGTCATCAACTGATACTGATACCAAAGTGGAAAATTGTTATGTGTGTGTAGTGTTTATATGATGGCTTCGTTTAAACATGTCATGCACTCAGTTTCTGAGAGATCATTCTTTCCTAATGTCTAGGTTTATGAAGTTTATGATAATGGACAGCATTAATGTAGCAGCTTATAGTCGTACAACCACTAAAGGCAACACAGGTTAACGTTCAGTAGACTGGACAACAGATCTATCTGTGAGTGGCTGACCCGTCCTACCTCCTGAGTCACAGCTGTTGTTAATGTCTTACATGAACCTGTATTTGTCTCACCAATCAGACTCCTCAGCTCCTCTCTCCTCATTTTCAACTGGTGGAGACATGCTGGACTTCCTGGTTCAGTCGGGTGTTATCAGCAAACAAGATGGCCTCTTGGCGTCCTGGTTTCACAGAGCTAACCGCAAAGAAGAAATGAACAAAGCGCTCACAAGTAAACTCCCTCCCACGTACACACAAACAAATCCTGATACTTTGAAGGTGTTGTTAGTCTCAGGACGTCCACTGACTAATGTGTTGACGGTGGATTTTGTGAAGTCAAACATCACCAACTCTGATATGAAGTTTATAAACTGTGTTTAACAAAAACATCAAGACAGCAAACCCTAAACGTCCATCTTTCTCCCCCTCAGGCGATTCCATGATTCTGGAGGCCGATGTCACTCTGGAGGGTTATGGAACACCCAATGAGAAGCCAATCCCAATCATGGCCCACCCTCCCGACATATACAGTGACAACACTCTGGACCAATGGTTAAATGCTGTTCTAGCTTCTAGAAAAGGTATGTTTCAGTATCATAAAACAGAAATGTGAAAGAGAGTCTTCAGAGTTAAAACCCAGATGTTAATGTTCTGTGTCTCTCTGCAGGCATTAAATTGGATTTTAAGTCTCTGGCATCTGTGGGTCATTCATTGGACCTGCTGAGAATGAAGAACAGCAGCAGTGAAATAAACAGACCTGTATGGCTTAATGCTGACATCCTCCGGGGTCCTAATGTACCAGCATTCATGCCTCAAGTCAATGGAACCAGGTAAAAACATGTGTGCATCAGTTCTATGGAAAGCCGATTGAAGATTTAATAGATATCCTTGATATCAAAGCTCAGTTTCCTGTACTAGTCAAGTCTTTGGCCGCACTAGTTTACTAGTAGAACGTTGAAAGACTTACTAGTAAACTAGTAGAAGGCAAAAAGTCCTACATGTTAACTAGTAAGGTGCAAAATATCTACTAGTTAACTAGTAAGATATATTTTGTGTCTACTAGTTAACTAGTGAGCCTAAAAATGTTTACTAGTTAACTAGTAAGAGCCAAAATGTCCACTAGTAAGCTAGAAAGGCATATATATGGACCATACTAGCTAACTAGTTAGGATAAAAAGTTTTTACAAGTTAACTAGTAAGAGCAGAAAGGTCCACTAGTTGTACTAGAGATGGCTTTATTAGTCTTACTAGTTAACTAGTGCGGCTCTAAATGTTCACTAGTTAACTAGTAAGAGAACAAATGTCCACTAGTTGCACTAGTATCATCTTTACAAGTCGTACTAGTTAACTAGTGAGACTTAAATATTTTACTAGTAAACTAGCGAGATCTAAAATGTCACTAGTAACACTTGTTGCACAAAATGGTAACGAGGAGGTGGGGGATAAGTGTGGATTGAGGCTTATGATAGGCTCTAAAAATCAAGAACAAAAATAACATCAAATCAGGACCCAGGATTTGGTTATAATCCCACCCACTGCATTTACATATTGCACACTAGTCAACTAGTTGGATTGCAGGATTAGAACTAGCTTACTAGTCGATATCTGTTTTCATTTTACTAGTTAACTAGTTAGAAAAAATGCTAACTAGTTAACTAGTTAATCTCATAATGGTAACTAGTAACACTAGTGAAGATGCATTTTACCTTTCTAGGTCACTAGTAAGATAAAATGTGTCAACTAGTAACACTAGTTGGAATATTTTTAAACCTACTAGTTAACTAGTGAGGCTCGGAAACGTTTACTAGTTAACATGTAGCAGCTAAAATGTCAACTAGTCACACTACTGAGGGCGGTTTTAACCTTACTAGTTTACTAGTAAAGCCCTATACAGTTTACAAGTAAACTAGTAAGTGCCTTTTTGTCCACTAGTTAAACTAGCTAGTGTCTTTTTGGCCTCACTAGTAAACTAGTTGAAGACTTTGTGTGGCACTAGTAAACTAGTTGCAGACAAAACAGCATACTAGTGGACATTTGCTTTTGACTAGTAAACTAGTTGAATGATATAATTTGACAAGTTTACATGCTGAACAGTTAAAACCCTTTACTAGTTAACTAGTTGAACACAGATGTCAACTAGTAGTCTGATCTGTTGACTACTAGTTAACTTGTGACTGACAATTTATCTAACTAGTTAACTAGTACTGCCAAAAAGACCCTTACTAGTACAACTAGTGGACATTTTGCAATTACTTATTAACTAGTTAACTGTGTTTGGCCTCACTAGTTAACTAGCAAGGTCACACATGGTCTAACTGGTAAACTAGTGGACATTTTGACTCGTTCTAGTTAACTAGTATGCATTTAAAGCCTCACTAGTTTACTAGTAAGGCCTTGAAGACCAAAGTAGTGATACTAGAGTGCATTTTTCTTTCACTAGTACTACTAGTAAACATCTTGAGCCCTACTTGTTAACTAGTAAGGTCAATTAGACTGCAACTAGTGGTACTAGTGACATTTATGCCCTTAGTAATAAACTAGTTAAGCTTTTTGAACATCATTAGTTTACTAGTAAAGTCGAAATGTGTTTTACAAGAGTAACTAGTGGACATTATGGAAAGCCGATTGAAGATTTAATAGATATCCTTGATATCAAAGCTCAGTTTCCTGTACTAGTCAAGTCTTTGGCCGCACTAGTTTACTAGTAGAACGTTGAAAGACTTACTAGTAAACTAGTAGAAGGCAAAAAGTCCTACATGTTAACTAGTAAGGTGCAAAATATCTACTAGTTAACTAGTACAAAAAATTGTGTGTCTACTAGTTAACTAGTGCGCCTAAAATGTTTACTAGTTAACTAGTAAGAGCCAAAATGTCCACTAGTAAGCTAGAAAGGCATATATATGGACCATACTAGCTAACTAGTTAGGATAAAAAGTTTTTAAAAGTTAACTAGTAAGAGCAGAAAGGTCCACTAGTTGTACTAGAGATGGCTTTATTAGTCTTACTAGTTAACTAGTGCGGCTCTAAATGTTCACTAGTTAACTAGTAAGAGAACAAATGTCCACTAGTTGCACTAGTATCATCTTTACAAGTCGTACTAGTTAACTAGTGAGACTTAAATATTTTACTAGTAAACTAGCTAGATCTAAAATGTCACTAGTAACACTTGTTGCACAAAATGGTAACGAGGAGGTGGGGGATAAGTGTGGATTGAGGCTTATGATAGGCTCTAAAAATCAAGAACAAAAATAACATCAAATCAGGACCCAGGATTTGGTTATAATCCCACCCACTGCATTTACATATTGCACACTAGTCAACTAGTTGGATTGCAGGGTTAGAACTATCTTACTAGTCGATATCTGTTTTCATTTTACTAGTTAACTAGTTAGACACAAATGCTAACTAGTTAATTAGTTAATCTCATAATGGTAACTAGTAACACTAGTGAAGATGCATTTTACCTTTCTAGGTCACTAGTAAGATAAAATGTGTCAACTAGTAACACTAGTTGGAATATTTTTAAACCTACTAGTTAACTAGTGAGGCTCGGAAACGTTTACTAGTTAACATGTAGTAGCTAAAATGTCAACTAGTCACACTACTGAGGGCATTTTAACCTTACTAGTTTACTAGTAAAGCCCAATACAGTTTACGAGTAAACTAGTAAGTGCCTTTTTGTCCACTAGTTAAACTAGCTAGTGTCTTTTTGGCCTCAAAAGGAAAATAGTTGAAGACTTTGTGTGGCACTAGTAAACTAGTTGCAGACAAAACAGCATACTAGTGGACATTTGCTTTTGACTAGTAAACTAGTTGAATGATATAATTTGACAAGTTTACACGCTGAACAGTTAAAACCCTTTACTAGTTAACTAGTTGAACACAGATGTCAACTAGTAGTCTGATCTGTTGACTACTAGTTAACTTGTGACTGACAATTTATCTAACTAGTTAACTAGTACTGCCAAAAAGACCCTTACTAGTACAACTAGTGGACATTTTGCAATTACTTATTAACTAGTTAACTGTGTTTGGCCTCACTAGTTAACTAGCAAGGTCACACATGGTCTAACTGGTAAACTAGTGGACATTTTGACTCGTTCTAGTGAACTAATATGCATTTAATGCCTCACTAGTTTACTAGTAAGGCCTTGAAGACCAAAGTAGTGATACTAGTGTGCATTTTTCTTTCACTAGTACTACTAGTAAACATCTTGAGCCCTACTTGTTAACTAGTAAGGTCAATTAGACTGCAACTAGTGGTACTAGTGACATTTATGCCCTTAGTAATAAACTAGTTAAGCTTTTTGAACATCATTAGTTTACTAGTAAAGTCGAAATGTGTTTTACAAGTGTAACTAGTGGACATTTGGTCCTTACTAGTTTACTTGTAAAGGTCAACTGGCAGTCCACTAGTAGTACTAGTAGCACTAGTTGACCGCATGATAATGAAGCAGGCGGGACAAGGATTTTGATTGGTCAATGTCAAACCTGTGATTTTGCCAGCCTTAAAGGGCCAGATCTGAATAGTACCTTCGGTTAAACCAGCACTAATTTCTGAAGGTTTGTTCATTTGTTTCATGTTATATTATCACTAAATGGTAACTCACTGAATGCCCTTTGATAGAATTTTATGACCCATGCACAGATTAAATCCAAATCTGATGTTACATTGTTATTCATCTTTTCAACTTTTTTGTTTTTTAAACTTAGTATTATTTGTTCTAAAAATCACTAATGATTATTCATTATTGCAGTATTTGTCAAAAAATAAACAATAACCCATCACTTAATATTTATATATAGTAGTATGATTGAATAAAATAAAATCTTGCACAACATTAATGTTCAAGGATTTTAGCTTTGTTCTTTCCATTGAAAATATGGCAATATAAAATATGAAAGATATACTAGTTTGAAACTTGCAAAGTGAAAAATTAAATATATTTTTTTTAAATCATGAAAGAAATGTGTTTATATTTAGTTTATCTGCTAGATGATCATGCAAAATATTGAATAAAATATTAGGATTTAGGACAAGTGTATACTGAATTATTAAACTAATGTGAATACGAAAATATAACAGGAAAAAAGTAACAAGCCTGAAACTTGAAATAAATGTTTTAATGTTTTTTTTTATAAATATAAAGTCAGCCTCTTACATCTGGAGAAATAACCCTTATACAATAAGTAGCTGCAGAGAGATATGCATTTCGGCCATTAGGTGTCAGTTGCAGGATCGGTATGTTATGGACTTGCTAAATTTTCTTGGTTTAGCTTCGAGTAAGCCCAGCAGAAAAGATACATATGGCAGTGAGCAGATATAAGTGCACAAGCAACATACATTAAGATTTATTTTATCATATGAGGAGTCATGTTTTTATGATTAAAGCATAAAATTAAGATACTACTTGCAAATGCCCACCAGATGGTGCTATACTTATATATGCTGCTAATGTGTACAGTACTAGTACTACTAGTGGACATTTAGGCTCTTACTAGTAGCACTAGTAGCACTAGTAGTACTAGTAGCACTAGTTGCACTAGTTGCACTAGTAGCACTAGTAGCTCTAGTAGTACTAGTAGCACTAGTTGCACTAGTTGCACTAGTACTACTAGTGGACATTTAGGCTTTTACTAGTAGTACTAGTAGCACTAGTAGCACTAGTAGCACTAGTAGTACTAGTAGCATTAGTAGTATGCATGCTGATGAAGCAGTCGGGACAAGGATTTTGATTGGTCAATGTCAAACCAATGATTTTGCCAGCCTTAAAGGACCAGCTCTGAATAGTACCTTGAGATAAACTGTGGCTAATTTTTTAAGCTTTGT